ATAAATAAATAAATAAATAAATACTACTAACCAAAGGAGGACAACTTTGATCTTTTTCTCCTATATTATATTCTGAGAGCTGGAAAGCATCTTTCTATCTATCCATCTCATCCTTAACATGTTTCCATCATCATTGCTGAATGATGATCAGAATGAATAAAGAGACACACAAACTTGAAGGCTTTCATGGCTGGGATCCGATCGTTGTTGTAGCTTTTTCGGGCCAAACAGCTCGAAAAAACCTACAACAACCTGACAGACAAACATTTGCCAAAGGTAAAATCTAGCATTTTCTTTTGTTCTTCCCCACCCCACTCTTCCATCTAAAGCAAATCATTTTATGTTTACAAGCAACACAGAACCAAATGGATATTGGACAATTCATTAATTATAACATAGGAATTGCTCCCAGTAGATTTTGAAAATTTCCCTTACGTGTAGTAACATGGCAAAGAAAGAGAAGGCAACAGTATTCCAGATTCGTCTCAAATACTGTTCCAAATGAAATAAAGAAGCTTTATGAGAAAAATGGTAGGTAACCTTGAAACAAATCCTTACTATTTTTTGAAAAAAATAATGTAACAGAATGGCAGAGCAATCGTCACATCACATTAAAACCAAACAAATATAACTGTCTCACATTTAGCTTATATTTTGAAAATCACGGTATCGTTTGTTTTAGTGTAGGTCCACACATCTAGAGAATATGGTGGCATATATTTTCCTGTTTAAATCCTTCATTGCCAAAAAGGGATCGCCATCCAAACCAGATAAAAAGAATATGTGTGGTTTTGGCGACTCCACCTCATGGAGCTTTGCTTGCCTTCCCTCTGGCCAGAAGCTGATTCTAATTCTTCTATCAGATATTCTGTACCACTGGTTGTCATTGTGCCCTACTGGAAGTCTGGCAAAAGGGAAGGTTGGCAGAGGATGAGGCCATGAAGGGCATTTTCAATTTTTTTTAATCTGGATGTAAACCTTCCCTCCCCAGCCCACCTCCACAATATGCCCCCCCAAGCCACTGTGAGTTGTTAGAATTGCCTTCCGTTCTTTGGCAAATGCAAAACAGGTGTACAAATTATGAGGGGAAAAAGATCTTATGTATGGTCTCTTTATTACCTTTCTTTGGCAAGAAAGGTCTGTTTCTAAGGTCAGCCAAAGGTAGGGGAAGCAATTTAATACAGACTCTGGCATCGACCTGGTTTTCAACAAGAGCAGGGGAAGGAGCCGCCTATGTCATAGCTCAGTGGTAGACAATATCTCTGGAAAATACAGTATCAGGAATAAAGCTGTAGACCCAGAGACACATACACAGACACACAGACACAGACACACACAGAGAGACACACACAAACACAGAGAGAACAGTAACAAACTGCAGTTCCTAAAACAGAAGTTGTCTAGATAGCTGGTCTTGGAATACTATGCTGGTTTCATGAATCCACTTGTCATATAACAAGAGTTTCTCAAAACAAGCAGACAGAATATTCTGCTTCACTGTATCCAGACCTCAACATCTTATTTGATTATTAATTTTTTTGTATGTGAATAAAAGCAAAAGAAAAAGGGATTTGTCACCAGGAATAGAAGCTAGCTACATGGCACAGTCAGAATTATTGCTGTCCAGAACTGGAGTAGTGGAGTTTTGTTGCATTGCACAATAGAAAGTCTTCAAACCAGGCATACGTCACAGAGAATGTACTGATGTCAAAAGGCAAAGTTATATACATCATGTGATGTCTCATACAATTACAGTGTGGTCAGGACAAAACTAGATGAACAACCAGATCCACAAGAGAAGCAAATCAAACATAAAAATTAAAGTATTGTGGCACCTCTTTGATCCTTTTATCTTTAAAATACTGTGATGCGTCTGTTTTTGGTTTCCCCCCCTGCTTTTGTTACACAACATTGAAATAACCTAACACAGCTACCTCATTGGAATCCAGATTCGTAAGCAGTCTCCCCCTCTCCACAACCCCTATCTGCCAAGCAGCATATTTTGTATTCAAGTCTTGGTATTAGTACAAATAATCGCATGCTAGTCAGTGAGATAATTAGTAAAAAAAATCCTGTCACCATTTGGGCAGTGCAACAGTCCCCTCTGCCCCCATTTCTAGCAGTTCTACAGTAGCCTTTGGTCCGTAGAAAAGAAAGCTTTTTTTAGACAAATTATGCACTAGTGCCATGATGGGTTTGGTGTCCCTTCCTCCTTCCAGAATTCTCTTTCCCTTCAAAACTGATTATGGCAATTCTCCACAGCACAACTTTGGCCTTTCTTTCCTCTTCCCCACAAAATCATCTCTGTCTTTCTTCCAAAGTGCATCTAGAAAGTGCTGCTCTTTTCTTTTCTCCCCCACCCTGTTTGCTTTTTTGAAGGAAAGGAGGAGAGGAAGGGATTGAATGCAACCCCTCATATGAAAGACAGTTTAGTCACACCATTCAGTCGCTCGCACACCCTCCAGGTTCTTGGACTTGCCTACCTTGGCAGACAGACTCTGTGGTTTGTTGGAGAGGATCTCTGCTGCTTCCCTGCAGTGGGTGGAAAGGTTCAGGATTGCAGCAGCTGCTGCTATGTGGGTGTCTTCACTACATTGACCGTAGCCATAAGAGTTGGCATAGCAAGGACTCTGTGTGTGGGCGCTAGCACTAGGCAGCCGATTAGAAAATTTCCCTGGATTTGAAAAATGCTTTGCTGTTGAAGAGAGATTTGATTAGAAATAGCGTGCATGGAAACTGCCACCCCCTACTAAAGATAGTAGGTTGTTGTTTTTAAAAAGATGATCATTTCATACAATCTAATAGGCAAAGAATACATTAGAGGATGACAGGAAATGTAGCATTATGATTAAGAAGCTTCAAAAATTAACAATATGTAAAGCTGGACTGTCTTGTTATTGGTACTGTTGCTATAAAACTACAGCTGGTACACAATTGTTCTGGTACTCCCATTTCCACTAAAAAAACAAAAACAAAAGAAAACTGAGGCTCCTTTACTCAAGATTTACTCATTGCTTTCACATAAAAATCTTTCCGTCAGTTTCAAGGACGGATGAATCAAGAATGAACAAAATTAGCTCAATTATAAATCAAGCACCAATGGACTTGCCTACTTCTGAACTCTGAATTGTAACAGGTAACACTCAAACCAAACTGGTCAACCTAAGCTACAACAATTTTGAGTTATAGCCAAACATTGCTTACTTCATATTTCCTGCAAATATATATTCTTCTTCTGGTTAAATAAATCAGAATCTTAGAAGACTACAGATACCAGATAAAAATTGTCACTTTTAGGCAAATGCAGTATTATAATAGCCACCAGGAAAATTAATATTAAGCATTCCTTTTTGTCAGGTGTTTTGAAACAGGAAATCAGAAATAAGACAATATTCAACACATTGGGTGCCTCTGAACATCATAAGTGAAAATTCTTTAGTTAAGTGCATGCTGGCTGATAATTCCTGCAGCTCAGGCCTTCTGTCTGTGGTATGTTACTGTGACATCTAAAACCCAGCAGGACCAAGCACTCCGGCTTGTCTGTCCCCAGACTGAAGCAATAACCTAGGGCTCACTTTAGGTTTATTTCAGTGATGCAGTGATGACATTTTGTGAAGATCTTGAACACTCTAAGACATATTAGCCTCATCTAGGATCCTGTTTGCTTTATTAAGATCATGGCAAATGTAGATTTCTCAGAGATAGTTTGTCTCACTTTGTATAATTTCAGACATGGCTTTCAGATAAGCAACAGTGGACTTCAACAGAAGAAATGGTCCCTGATGTCTCTATTTTGAAATACAGTCCTTCATGGAAAAACCTGTGGCTTATGTTATTTTGGACATGACTTGGAAATGATTCATTGAAATTTGTTGATGTCACCTCTGATGTACAAAAAAAATGATTAAAAATGTGATACTTTAATCATTAGATGCCAAAGATGTTAGTGTTTTAATTAATGAATAATGTTTTAATTAGTGTATGATTATTTTAACTTGTTCCTGGGATGGTAATTTTGGAGACACTATATTTGGTTATATAATTAATGCATCAATTTATTTTACAAAACTATCTTAACATTTTAATGGTGATGAATTAATTTTCTTTAAGAATTTTTCATAAGAACACATTCACACTAACATTTCCAAGCATTGGTTTTAAATGTATACTTAGTTACACTGGCGAGTATCCTATTGGTTGTCCCAACAGACTCATTGAATCAACTGATGAAAGACAGCACATACATAAATCCCACTGAGTCAGTGATTCTACTTTAATATGGACTGACAATAGAATACTGGCCCCTGATTAAAGAGGATTCCAATTCTGGGTAAATCCCACCCCAGCTTTATTTCAAGTTATTGCTTGGAAGTTTCTACAATAATATTTTTTTTCCCAAGCAAGTAAGATATTTTAGCTAAGCCGCTTAAAGTGGTCATTTTAAAGTGGCTGCTTATGTACCAGATGTGGATCTGTGGGTGCTAGCATGAGAACCAAAGCAATTGTTCTGGCTTCACACTATTATTATGATCTTCTTATTGATATGCCTCTAGTTTCAAAGTTCAAAATGGAATCATTTTGTAACCTAATTAGCATCTGTATAATATATCATCAGTATAACAGCCTAATCAGCCAAAAATCAGCCACTGTTCCACACTAGCCAATGCAATCTCATTCTTCAGACTGTTGCTTATTGGTTTCTGGTTATTTTCAACAGAGGACATTATTCACTCCAAGGAAAAAGCATATATAAGGGGCAGTAAAAATATGTCAATTCCTGTTTTCCAACTAGTTTTGTAGTGTTATGTTTTGAAGAGGAAGAGAGACCCCAAATTGGTAAATGATCTACAAATCACGTGTATTGCACACACTGAAATTCCACTTGTGCTTATAGTTTACGTGTGCATTTGTGTTCATAGACAGATGTACAGGTTTATGCATCAGCCACTGTCTCCAGGCACATCAACATATGCCCAGCTTTCCATCATTAATTGGGTTGTGGAAAAGAGCAGTGCTTCTCAATCTGTGATTGTTTTATTTCCAATAGTAAGGGATTCTGGGAGTTCATATCACAAACATGTGGGTATTGAAAACTAGTAGATTACATTTTTTAAAAAAATATGGTATATTTTGAAACATCATGGTCAACTAGGAGTGCTTACATAGACTAAGAACATTTATTGCTTTATACATGCAATCTGAGATACAAAATCAATGAGGGAAAAAAGCAGACTGTATTTTGCCCATCATTCACTTACATTCAAGGAATTGTGTGGGTTTTTGTCCCTGAATTGTTGACATCATTGTGCGTTTACCAAAGACCTGGGCATCAAAGCTGGCATAGTCAAATGGAACTTTCCCACATTTCTCTTGCTCTCTTGTAAAGGTAGCTCTGGAGGAAAGGATTGGTTGGGCTGATTGGCAGCTGTACTGAGATAATTCAAGTTGCTTCACTAAACTTGTCCTACAGAGACAATCAAAACAGAACAATGAGGATGGGTTTTATTCTGTAGCAATGAAGTACCTGCAATAGGATACAAACAATACAAATAGCACTCTGTAAACAGATAGCTTAGAGTTAGGAGATGGGAGAATAAAGACAGACCCAGTAAGCTACCTAAACTGATCGTTACATCTTTAATCTCATACTTCCCTAAAGTTCATTTTTTTCTCTCTCTCTCTCTCCCTCCCTCTCTCTCTCTCTCTCTCTCTCTGTTCACTATAAAATAAACCTGCTAGTTTTAAAATGCCTTGACTTTATTTTTCACATATGGAGCCTTCTTTTGATCTGTGGTGCTAAAGAAAAATTCAGTCCCATGTAGATGCATAATATTCACACAGTATTCAATAAATATTTTATTTACTACTTGGCCTTAACATACAAGGAGCAAACTGCTCACATGGACATTCTACTACAAAAGCCAATTGCTAGGTTTTGCCCCATCTTTTAATATCATGCAAAACAACATTTTGTGTTCATAGAACATTATCCATAAAGCTAGTTTTTTATTCAATCTATGTAGGAAAAAGATCCTGACTTGCACAAAGAGTATAGCAAAGCAAAAAGGAGTAGATGTGTGAATAAGCACAGCAATTAGCATGTCATTAATCCTGAGGCACATGTTTCTTTCAAAAGACAATGTGAAATTGACTACCATAAGTTTTGCAGAGTTCTGGCTACCGTACAGAATCAGAAGAGGAACATTTTAAGGCATTCTACGCAACAGCCCATCATTGGGTGCTATAAAATGAGTGATGGTTCTTACCTGTGGATCTGATCATGGCACTGCCCCATTTTGGGTGACTCGTGCTGATTTTTTTCCTGAGACATCGCCATTTTTTCAGCTGCAGCAATTGGACAACCAGAAAGACTGTTTGAAAGAGATTTGTAACATATGAGTGATTGTTGCCAATATATTTTTATTCCCTCCAATGGAATAGGGTATTTAAAGTGTGCATTTGAGCACCCTAGTCAAAATATTATTTAGCATGTTGTGTTACCTTCCTGATCATCCACCCTAGTTCATATTCCATTTGGCATGTAAGTACCCCTATATCTGTTTACGCATAGGCATCTATGTTCCATGGCAGCTTCTACCCACTCCTAAATTTCTTAATGATTCCTGGTTCAGTTAGATTGTCCTTGCTTTAGACTTTACTCCCATACCATATTAACTCTTTGCCTCCCCACTCCACTTCCACCATCACAGTCCCAGTATCTATTGTATGTGACTTCATTAGCACCATATTGCATTATTCTCAACGTTTCCAGTTGTAATGTTGACATGTAGTATATTTTGTAATATAAAGCTCATATCCACATCTATTTTGCTCCTCATAGTGAAATTAACCCAACCAAACCTTATCAAATTTTGTGTGTGTATGGTTTAGTAAACCAAGGTGAATCAAAATTCAAACATATATAGAAGTCAGAAGACAGTGTCAGTACATCAAAGTACACAAAAATCTAATTTATATTAAAGAATAAGGTGTTTTGTAATTTGCATTATTTGTAATTCAGATTTACATAAAATATCAATGAGACAACTATGAGTTCACAAAGAGTTAGGATAGAGTAAGCATACTATTTACATTAAATTATATACAGATATGCACTTTCAAGGAAGAAGCACGGAATGCCTAAGAACAGTTAGCATGTATAATTGTTAGTTATTATTATTCATTTTATTTACACGCCACCTTTCTCCTGATAAGGGACCCAAGGTGGCTCACAATATTAAAAAGAATAGAATTTAAAACACAATAAACATAAAACGCCACCTTTCTCCTGATAAGGGACCCAAGGTGGCTCACAATATTAAAAAGAATAGAATTTAAAACACAATAAACATAAAAAACTCAATTAAAATATACTCTAATTAAAATAAACTGATTTCTTAAAAGCAAATAAACATTAACATTTTAACTCTAAGAAAGCATTCAGGGATTCAATCATGATTGTTAAAAGCCTGCCTGAAGATATGGCCAGCCTGATCTGAGGGAGAGCATTCCACAACCTGGAAACTGCCACAGAGAAGATCCTATCTTGTGTCCCCATCAGCCGTACCTGAGCTGGCAATGGGACCAACAGGAGGACCTCCTCTGATGATCTTAAATGTCAACACGACTCATATGGGGAAATATGGTCCTTCAAATAGCCTAGACCCAAGCTGAATAGGGCTTTATAGATAATGACCAGCACTTTGATTTGGGCCTGGAAATCGACTGACAGCCAGTGCAGATGTTGTAGCAGAGGCATTGTATGCTCCCTATTACTAGCTCCAGTCAACAATATGGCTGCGGAATTTGGCACCAACTGAAGTTTCTAAACTATCTTCAAAGGCAGCCCCACACAGAGCATGTTACAGTATTCCAAACAGGATGTAACTAAGGCATGTGCATGGATGGGTTGTCTACATATCATTTAGGAGAAGTCTTGCAAACCCACATCTGCTAGCTGGAATTGTAATTCAACATTGCTGGTGGGCATGAGGTTGAGAAGGCTCTCTTAGGGCACGATGCCGCCCACACTACCCAGAGGTCTGCTAGCTGGAGTTGTAATTCAATGTAGCTGGTGGGCATGAGGTGGAGAAGGCTCTCTTAGGGCATGGGTCAAAGGAACACAACAAATGAATGAATTTAAAAATATTCTTATTGATGTATTAAAATGTAATAACACAATCCAAATATATGTCTTAGTGGTTTCAAGGAAAGAATTAAGTAGGGGGTTATTTGTTTCCCACTAAAAACATAAAACCTATAAGTCCTTTTGGGAGGGGGCTGGCCCATACACCTTGTGGAAGCAGAGTGTTTGTGCTATCACTTTGTACTGAAATAGTAACAAAAGCTAATGAAAATGTTCCTTTCTTGAAAAATCTAAACGATCACAGGATAGAATACCTTCGGTGAGTGTTGCGGTTGCTGTTGACATGTCCTCTTCCTGTACATCCAGGAGTGGGGCACTTTAGTACATTTTCATGCATGGCAAGGACTATAGAAGATGAAGAAGAAAAAGAAGGAAAGAGTGCCCCCAAATACACATCAAACTTAACAGTGCTAGTGCTGGTTCAAAACTCTAAGAGTGGTGTTCAGCATTTACATGTTTTTAATACCCTATGGATATATTTATATGACCAAAGTTAAGAAGCCATTACCTTCTGGTTATAACTTCATTTGGTTATGTTCTACACTAAGAGAGCATTACCGGATGCTTAAATCACCATACTTCCAGTCAGGTGTTTGTTGATACACCCAACTATTAGGAGCTGAGTAAGTAAAGGCAAAGGTTCCCCTTGACATTTAGTCCAGTCGTGTCCGACTCTAGAGCATGGTGCTCATCCCCACCTCCAAGCCATAGAGCCAGCGTTTGTCTGAAGACACTTTCCATGGTCACGTGGCCAGCGTGACTAGACACAGAATGTCGTTACCTTCCCACCGAGGTGGTAACTATTTATCTATTCGCATTTACATGCTTTCAAACTGCTAGATTGGCAGGAGCTGGGACAAGTGAAGGGAGCTCACTCCGTTGCGTGGATTCGATCTTATGACTGCTGGCTTTCTGGCCCTGCAGCACAGAGGCTTCTGTGGTTTAACCCACAGTGCCACCAAGTCCCCAGTTTTGAGTACATGTACTCAAAACTGCTCCCCTCCATTATCACCTCCTGATTTAAAAAGGAGTTGTAATCACATCTTGTACTGCAGTCCACAAGAAGACATTCTGGAAGGTTGGGGAAAATACCAATGTGTATCTTAGTTTCTGCCAGGTGTAGCAGCCATGTGAACAAGTGAGACAAGATACTGTGGTGAGAACCCTGAAGGATCTAGAGAGGGAATGGATTCTTTCCTAACACCTTGATGAAGTATGGGTCCTTAAGTAGCTAAACTATGAGGAACACAGTTTTAAACTGTTTTGGTGGCTTCAACTCAGTGGATTTGTCTCACAAAACTGTTCCACCCTACCATTTATGGAAGTGTTTGCCTAACAGCAGGAGTATTGTCCAATGATTTTCATTCCTTCAGAAGGGGGCTGATAGGTTATTCTGTCAAGTAACCCAAGCCACTTACAGGATGAAGAGTTCCTTGCCCATCTTATCTCTCCATGAGGGTAGGACAGGTACAAAACCACTTTGCCTGGTACGACTGACCGATAGGAACAGGACAGTCAAGGGACCCTTTGGCCTAAATGTATACTGGAGAGGAAATGAGAAACTTCAGGTAAGATTCTGATGATTCCTGTGGTTTGAGGTACTGTGGGATTAATCAGATGTGGGTCATAGGGACTAGGCTCATGCTTCCAGGTGCAACGTAGTCTTTGTACATGTCTTACAAAAAATAATTCCTCATGTTTTCACTCTTGTGAGTGAGAGGGTAGGTATCTTTTTCTATATTGAAGAAATTATGCTTACTTTCCAGTGGCAATCTGACTTTATGTGGACAACCTGAAAGGCTGCGATGGTGTGGATACAATCCAGTCACGTGGCCCGTGCCATCACATCCCGGGATAGGACATTTGGTCTCTCTCTTTTCAGGCCTTGGCAAGTCTTCAAGAAAAAGAAATGAAGATTTTGTTTGCACATTGCAAAAGTACAAATCTTAGATTGTTTTTTCATAAATGAGAAAAACTTCAAACTTTTTTTTTCCTGACTGGGGAAAATTATATGCGTGTTTTTTTTTTGTGCATTCTTTTTCCATTTTGGGACTTGATTCACAAACATTCAAGGGTTTTGTGTGTGTAAAAATAGTACTTTGTACCAAAATGTGGAATTTTGTTCAAAAAGTATTTTGCACAGAATAGAAGGTTTTAGTGTCAAATATGCAACATTTTTTTGGTTAATTCTGGTGAAAAATGCTGGTCTTTTTGCATGCATGCAATACTGGAAAAAAATCTCAGAATGGTTCAGCATTTTTTCCAACAGGGAGTATTCAAGTGTCAAGAAAATCTTTTTCCTTGAGAATGAGAATCTTCATGAATATTGGTTACATCCTTAGAACACAGTCCTCATTGTGATGGTTCAGGGACCAGCATAGGTGCAGGTGTGTCACCTTCCCCAAAAATTATGCAGTATAGTGCCACCCACATACCCCAGTCACAGGCCATCCTTGGTATATGTCAGGCTGACTACTTTTAAGAGATTAGTCAAAAGGAACTCTTTTTCAAGGTATTAATGGAAGTGGAAATGCTATAGATCTTTTAAAATTCTACTTTCTGCTTTCAGCAATGGTTTCTTATTTTGTACTAAAACATATGCCTTTGGGATTTTACAGTGACATCTGAGTCATAAACCAAAGAAAAAGAAAAGAAGAGAAGGGAAGAGAAGAGAAAAGAAAAGAGGAATTGTCTGAAAAGAAAAACCCAGAGAGCACTGAGTATCAAAATATCAGGCTTTGGAAATGTTAGATCACTGTGAAGCAGATGGAATCAACTAACTAGGGAACTGCAGCAACTCCCCTTCTCTGGTCCATGCAATGGCAGGACTGCAAACTACAAGGTAGGATTTTTTTTTCCCCAACAAGTCATTCCACTATTAAATCTGGAATGGAGAACCACCCATCTGGAGGCCAAACGTGGTTTGCAGTTTTTTCTCCTTTCCAGTCTATCTAGGTGAGGAGCTTCTGAGGAAACCACAGAGGGCTCCACACCTCTGTCTGCAATGCACAGGGAAAATTCAATGGGGTGGAATGATTTGCAGGGGAGGGTGTCACTTATTCCCAAGCACTTCCATAGTATCTTCCAGCCCTTTGGAGCCATCTTGGAAGTCAATCCAGTCACTTGAGGCTTTTCAATCCCTCATCCCTCCAATTTTCCACTCTAGCATATATTTTATAATTCTGATTATTTGCTGCTTCATATCCTTTCCCTTCCTCAGTGTGCATTGCTTACAGCTTTCATAGACTCTGTGATAGCTTATTGTACTCTGATATCTGAAGAAGGCACTGGGATACAGTTTACTACATTTCCCACAGCAACTGTCTTGTTTTGAAAATGAACAATGCTGAATCGAATGTTTAATTCTGTGTCACACAAGCTAGAAAAAATAACAAATCACATTCAGCTATATTTACTACCCAAGTAATGTGTTATGTGGTATAAGGGAAATAGCATTTTGTGCACATGCATGTACTACATGCTACATGTCAACTTGGCATCTTCTTTAGATAAATTTATCTGCTCACACTGTAATTTTATGCATCCCTACTCAGAAGTAAGACACATTGAGCAAAATGCCACTAACCCCCCCTCTAAGTGTATATAAGACTTCTGGGAGAGCACCTGAAATTTAAAAAAAAAAGGGAGAGAGAGTGTACAGAAGTCTATGTATTTGCTTTTAAGGGCATCTTAAAAATAGGAACACTTATTGATAATTAGGCACAACAAAGAACATGCATATTTTTGTAACTAAAGGAAAATAAGCAAAGAGAGGGAGGGATATAATATGATACCCCCCTCAAAAAACTGTGATGGAACTGGGCATAGCCAGGACATGGAAAAGAGAAAGGATGTCAATAGATGTGAATTCCATAGGTGTAGACAGCCTTCATCTCCACTCCACTTTAAAAGTTGCCTCATGGAATCCCCTGTTCTTGTCATTCAGGGATATTGTTTGTCATCTCTGAGATAGGTCATCCCACAGTAGCAGACTTAAGCCATGGGGATTTCCCCCCAGCACAGAGTTAAGTGATAATTTGTTATCTTTAATTTAGATCTGCATAACTTGGAATTCATAACATTATGCAGTTTGTCTTAAGAAACAGATAGACAATTCATTGACTCATAGTTTATTAAATGTTATTCTTAAAATACCTCCTATTTAATTAAGAGATCAGTTCTGTAAGAACATATCTAGTATACTGAAGCTTCTTTCTTTAGGATTATTAGGTAGTGAAAATCCTAAAATATGCAGTGTAATAGCACTTTGAAACTCCATTTTCTGTGATGATTCAGCTGTAACTGATACTTGTAATACTTCATGTGTACCCAGTAAAAATCTGAAATGCAGTCACATATGATACCACATTATGGCTATTCTTTGTAGCACCTATATTACACAGCATAACGCTGAAATCCCGTTTATGTAAATTCTGTGGCATAAGGCTGATGATGTCATCAAGAAGGGAGGGGGAAGTCTTTAATCACCATTGCTGGGATAACTTTGCTGTTGCTGGCAGTTTTCAGTAATTGAAGTCTTACCTCCCTCGTGCTTTTGCCCTGTGCAGGTTTTCAATGATGGAAAGGATTACTAGGAACCCCTAGTGACTTTTTGACAGGGGGAAGAAATGTTCAGTATTCAAAAAATTGCCCTGGCTGATGATGTCATCAGCTTTACATGACAAACATACAACATGTTGTCAGCCCCTTTTAATAGCCTTTTTGTTTGTATCTTACATGTTCTAGTAACTCAAAGAATACAAATCAAGTGAACCGTGCACTATACTTTTCAATACTGCTGTAGCAGTCTGAACTCCCTTGTATGGTACTGGAAGTACCTTATAATCCTTGCTTCTTTGACCAATGTCAGTGGAAGCAAAAAAGCTACTCCCCTTCCCACAAAAAGTCTCTTCAGCGCCTGAACTACAGCAGAAATACTAGGTGGAAGAAGAACACTGTGCATAAACTGGGTGGACCCAATCTGCCAAGTGTGGACATGATTGTCTGAAATGCTCCACCCACAGCTTTAAACAGTATAGCTGGATATAAGCTTTGACACACTGGCAGGAACAGACCCTTTTATGAGTTAACAGGATAACAGGGCATGTTTCATTCAGTATGTGGTGCAGGAGGAGATCTGTGGAATCCCTATCTTGCCATTAGATATAGATAAAGCACCCAAAGAAGTCATCACATTGTTAAACTGTAAATTAAAATGCAAAGCACGTGCAGCCCCTGAAGGAGTGGAACTAAGAAAGAACAGGGCTGTGAGTAAGAAATTTGACTCTGAAAGAGTGGGAGAGTTGAGAAGGCCAGAACTGCTGTTGCCACTTGGCCTGCTGAGCCCTTTGGCAATGGTTTAGGGTTTTGAAGATTCTAACTGCTGTTGCCACTTGGCCTGCTGAGCCCCTTGGCAATGGTTTATGGTTTTGAAGATCCTACATTTATTTATTTTATTAGATTTATACCCTGCCAATCTAGACTGGGTCTACTCTGGGCGACATGTGAGGTTGACTCTTCTAGGTATGGGATACCCAATCCAGTTGAGGAAGATGTCTTGGATTTTTATCTGAATTTAAATGTGTTAAATTGTATTTGCAAGGTTCACCAATAGGTATCTAAGTAAGCAAATAGCCTCATAGGACTTAAAACTGTTACACACAGTTTTCATGAAATCCAAGGGGTTAGGGGAACTTACCGATCTTCGCATTGCGATGTTTAGAAAACAGCTGATCGCGGTTCCAAAATGGCCACCGGATCAGCAAAATGGCTGCCCACAGCATTTTCGCGCCCTGCCCTCGCTTACCAGGCAGCGAAAATGGCGGCCGGATGGGGGTATCTTCGCTTACCAGTGAGTTTTTCCCCCATAGGAATGGGGTTTCCCCCCCCCGCATAGCGACGAATCCGGATAGCGACGTTAATCCTGGAACAGATTAACGTCGCTATGCGGGGCACCACTGGATGGGATACCCAATCCAGTTGAGGAAGGTGTCTTGGATTTTTATATGAATTTAAATTCAAAGGGACACTCGAACTTTTCAATTCTATGAACAACTTCTGTATCAGTGCTGTTGCCTAGGACTTGGGTATACAAACTGTAACATTTTGTTGTTCTTATAATTGCTCCTGTCATATCACCATGCAAAAGAAAATACTCATTGTGTTAAATTGTATTTGTAAGGTTCACCAATAGGTATCTAAATAAGCAAATAGCTTCACAGGACTTAAAACTGTTACACGCAGTTTTCATGAAAACCAGATGTCTAAACAAATGTGCAAACCATTATGAACAAGGGAAGTGGACTCACGTTTGTTGTTATAGATTGATTTACCGCCGAGATCAATCACTTTGGCTTGTCTTCTTTCACCAGCAAGGTGTTCCAGTAGAAACCTGTCCAGCTCTTTGTAGGTGCTATGAAAGACATGACCCTGCTCTGCCTGCAGAGCAATTGCTCGTTCCAGCAAACTCAAGTTTTGCTTTGTTTTGTCCGAGTCAAATGACATCTCAGTGTTTTCTGACAGGCACTCCTCTTCCTCGCTGTCTGGAAATAGAGTCTGGATTCTGTTGCTGAAAGACACAACCTCTGATTCTTGGCATTCTTGTGGCTGTGTTTCCAAGTCACAGATAGTCTCAGAGTTTTCAAAATTTGCTTCTTCTGTTTTGACTCCTAACACTTTTATGACATCTTGCTGATTATGTCCTACAATATAGTTTTGATCTAAAGGGAGTTTTACACTCATCTCTTCAGAGAAATTTGAGGAGCTGTCCCATTCATTGTCCAGAATTTCAGAACTACTTTCATTATCCTCAGAGGAACAGTATTGTGGGTCAGAAACACTAATTCTGCCTCTTCTTACAGAAGAGTTGATTATATAACATTCATCAATATTCTTATTTTCTATTTTTAAGGACTGGCTACTGCTATCATTTAATTTATCATTGTCTGCCAGGATTGGCACATCTTTTACCGTTTTTTCAGCATTAATTAAAGATTTGTTCATTAGGTTCTGGTAGCTGCTATAATTGTCCTTCTTTAGATGATCACTTTCTTGTGTGTCCAGATTAGGAGTACCTTTTTCTGATATTACGGTGCACTCTTCTAGAAGGATAAAGAAGAGGAAGGTAGAAAATTAAAATTAATTACTCTTACTTTGGCCACAATCCACAAACCATTTATGGAAAAATTAATCCTATTCATGTCAGTAATACTCAGCCCTAAGTGGTTTGAGATGACTAGCTTATACTAGATCAAGATTTGTTTGATGAACAGTAGGAAGATTGATACTGAGCAAACACTCTCTGCAGCGGGGGATCACACAACTGCTTCATCAAAATGGTTGCATTTCTTGCGGGCACATTAATTTCAAGACATTTTATACTGTTATTTTAAAAAAATACAACTTCACACATGAAGCTGCTCCTAGTTTCATTGACAGCAAGGGGATTTTTTTCCCCTAGAAACTTTGTTAAGAATTATCTGATAAACATTGTACTGTACTGTGGTTTCAAAAGACAGGAAACGTCAGTGTGACATTTGCAGAGGTCAAACTATTCACTCTTCCAGCTCTATTTTAACCTCATACATTGGGAGTCAATGTGTTATAGTGGATAGAGTGAGAGACTGAACTCAGGAGATCTGGGTTCAAATCCTTGTTTGGCCATGAAAAGTCATGGAAGAGGTGGCACTAGTAAAATAATAGCTTAAATATTTCATATATCTTGAAAATATAAGATGCAGTCCCCTGGAGACTCATTTCTCACAGAGTTCACAAAGAACTAGCTCTAGAAGCTTTGCCGTTCATGGCATTGCCGTCTGAAGGCTTGTAGACCATGTTGCAACATTGCAGCTACTTACACTAACAAGTTTGTTTACTTTAAGTCCAAAAAGAAAGAAAAAAGAGCTGGGATTGTTTGGGACTATTGCTTTTTGCCACTGGAGTGTCTTCCTTCCAGCCAGTGTAATGTATTCTTACCCCAAATATTTCATTCCATTTTTCGGTGACCAAGAGGCAAAAGTGACATTGTTTGATTCCTATAGGCCAGCCCCAGTTGGGAATAGGGATGGGGAGAATAGGAGTTTTCAGTACATTCTGGAAGAACAAGACATGTACTGTGTTTTCCCCAAAATAAGACAAGGTCTTTATATTAATTTTTGCTCCCAAAACCACAATAGGGCTTATTTTCAGGGGATGTTTTATTTTATTTTTCATGTACAACAATCTACATTTATTTGAATACAGTCATGTCATCTTCTGGTTGCTGCACAATGCTGCAAAATGGTGGAGAGTGGGGTTTTACTTAACTAGGGCTTATTTTTGGGGTAGGGCTTATATTATGAGCATCCTGAAAAATGATATTAGGGCTTATTTTCAGGTTAGGTCTTATTTTCGGGGAAACAGGGTACTTGATACCTAACTCTAATCTTAGCCATTACTCTCTCATAATACAGTGACATTCCAGTAGGGTAAGAAAATAGTCCACAATTCACTTAATGTGAGTGTTTTTGCATTGAATCCTAGTGCCTGAGTGTTAATATAGTCTCACAGGGAGAATAAGGCTTCTTATTGAAAGAAGATTGTTCATCAAGATTATTGTAGACAATTCCATCCTTCTGTTCCTCTTCTTTCTCCTGCTGTGGATTATAGTAAACAAGTAAAGTGGAAAGCTATTACTGCAGTGTCAAATGACAATCCTGAAAAATGGGAAAAGTATGTGCTGTACATTGGGAATTGTGTGTAAACTTGTAACTAAGAAGCTAAAAATCTTTGAAAAACACCACACCAAGTAAGTTGGAAACATAAGAAGCTTGAGTCCTTCATCATTTCATTTGCTCATATAAACTAAATTATCTTTAAACTGTTTTGAGAATTTCTATCCATAGGTTACATTGTCTAGATCCCCCCCCAAAAAAATATTTGCTTCAGATCAACCTTTTGTTAATCAAAGTCCCAAATTCTAAAGATCATAATTTACATGTTCCATGTAGCTGTTGTAGTTACAGTACTTTTGCAAGAGACAAAACAGATTTTTTTAATCAACATATTTCTGTTTTCCTAAAGAACTGCAGAAAATAAGTGTGTCCTATGCTAAGAAATATTGTGTTCTTTGAAATAAGTAGGGGAAGAATACATAATAGAGGTTACATGGAATGGATCTTTCAAATGCTGAAAGACAAATCCTTTCTGTTTTATTTAATTTTTTGCTGAACAGATTTTTCCCCCTGACAAGGACACTCCAAAATACATCTCCATCATCTTCTTTTCTGGTAATTATCTCCCTAAAATCAACACTGGCCTGCCAGGATCAAGTAAATATTACCATAGTAACTAAAAGCATTTTTGGATGCAGAAAGAATTTAGCCACAACACTAGCCCCTTCAATAATGCTGATTATAGGGTGCATTCTTTTGTTGGGATGTATTCAGCATAAACTGGACCATTCTACATTTTACTTCCTAGCGGAAAAAAAAGATAGATAAACAAGCTTACAATAAAAGATAAGAAGGTCCGGTTCTTTGCAGATTCCACATCAGACCAATTCTGGGTTTAAATAATAACTTAAATATCATCACAAATGCAAATTAAGTTTTGTCTCAGCAACAGTGTGCTATTAAGAGAAAGTGAAAAGGTTTATCATAATTTCAAAGTATTATCAACTACCGAAAACAAATAAAAAGCATTTTCAGTGAATATGTCCAATTCATTGAACTATTCTCTCAATCCACTTAACTACCCACATGTGTACAATAATGATTTATAGACATTATACCTAATTATGCATATTTGGGCTATGTTGGAGTGCCTAACAAAAGCTCTAGAAAGCAACAATTACCTCTGTTGCTTAGCTACATAGTTTAAAATATTCCTATTAAGTGCAGATTATTGTGGAAAAGAGGAGGAGGAGGATACAGATGCACATGTGCCACTACAATGCACTTCACTTTACTGCTGCCAAACTGTTAGCATTTTGGGTCACTTCCAGTTTACATAATTGTTTGATTCCACTCTTTATTACACATTAAAAGAAAATATTTATTAATTCTTTCTTGTCCGTTTTCTTCAGGACATTGAAGAAGATCAGGCCAGCATCAAAACACTTGCCACTTTGTTTGAAATACTTGCCATACATTCTTGTCACTGCTGGCAAACTCCATGAAAACTTTATTTTTAGGAATTTCATCACCATAGATTATGTCTGAGTTGGATCAAAAGCAAAAGTTTTCAACATTTTCCAAGTGTGAAACCAATCCAGAATGAATTGGATAACTCTCATGTTAACATATCACCACGTAAAATATTAGAAGAGCTAACAAAATGTATGTATGTCAGTGATGTCAATTATTTTATAATGCTAGATTTTTGACAGATGAAAAGATACATCCAGTTCTATTTTATTAATTATTAGTTTTTTCTGTTATAAAACCCATTCCAGCAGGTTTGGAAACACTATGGCAAAACTGTATGCTAGCAATAACTCCTGATTACAAAACTAAAATCATATTAGCACTCACATCACATGTCCAAGACAATCTTTCAGGCTTCAGAAATCAGACTCAGAAAGGGAGATCTGCTTATAGTCCGAAGCCAGTCACAAAACCCTAATACAAACTCATTTGTGAACTGCAGAAGGCGAGAACATGTACAAGTAATATGAGAACACCTCATATTACTGGGGCAAACATGCAAAATCAGCTCTTAAAGAGTTTTCCCCTCTGGGGAATCAGAGCCTCCATTTATCTCCCTCATTGCACCATCATGAAGTGTGACACTGATATAAAAATTCTAGTACCTAGCACTGCTAGGTACTAGACTTATATGTTTCCATGGCCAGCTAGAGTTTTGAACCCAGATCTCCTGAGTTTTGCTTCCATACACCTAATATTAGTATTTCCCAAATATATTCAAAGAACTGACGGAGTTACTATTTTCAGTGATTCTTGAAAAGTTAGACTAATAGTTCCCAATCTTGGGTTCCCAGCTGTAGTTCGACTATAACTCCCCAAATTCCTTACTCTTGGCCACACTTCTGGAAGCTGAAATACAACATTTGGGGGTCTCAAGATTAGGGTCTCTGGTTTGGAATCATGGAACAGATTTACAGATAATCAGATAAATTAATTATGCTCCAAAAACAATGGTAATTGAGTAGAGAGAAAGCCCAGTGGTTTACAATGTGATAATAGATGCTGAAATAAAAGCATTTATGTAGCTATTCATGTATTAGCAACACGGAGAACTAATGTGTGAGTAAAGGCGGTTCAGAGTTGTGTCCATTTGTGACATCTCACCTGCTCAGTACTAGTACTAATGAAAGACAAAAACAGGAGCCAGCAGTCCTCACAGAAGTTCCTCCATATGACTGGTAGCTATGATCACATAGCCCTACCCTCAGTTACTTGGAAGAACCTTCAGAGGTACACTTAGCTTCCCTTTTAAACTGAGGAAAAACTAATCAATGTTAGATCCAATCAAGACAGAAGCTTGATTTCTCTGGTCAGCCAACATTCAGAGGAAGGAACAAGTATTCATCCTGTCTTGCATGAAGTTGGAAGACTCAGGTTTTCCATTTGGATCTATTCCTCATTTCAGCACTGCCTCTAGACACTCAGGTTTCAAGGGCAGCCTAGAATGTATTTGTATTTTATACATTAATTGTGCTATTCCTGGAAATGCCAGATCCAATCATAGTGGCATGAGCATCATATCTTGTGTGGATCACTGTCATGTGATCTGCATGGAAATTGTGGTTGTTGTCACTTTTGAGAGACTTTGGGAAACTTCAGCTGGTTCAGAGGGCTGCAACTTGACCTGGTTATGGGGAACACATGAATCTCAGACTGTAATCAATGTGCAAGCTACTGGTTATAGAAGCCCTAAACCATGAGGGGCCAAGCTATTTGAAAAGCATTTTTCCATATGAGCCCAGTCAGGTTTCAAGTTGCTTTGGTGAGGACTGGCAGAAACATGAGACCTTGTTGATGGCCCCTCCCAGGCTTTGGAACCTTTGGCATAGACAGGGGGTAGCCCCATTTTTTATGCCATTTCCTTGGCAGGTGAAGATATTAATGTAAGTTTAGTTGACTTGGCATAGAAAACATTTTGTGATTAGACAAAAGGGAAATACTATGCAAACACTGCTTTCTTTTGCAAAGCAGCAACAAGTGACATTTGCAGGAGAAGCAAATTAGCCCCTACCCATTTTGCTTCTGGTAGGATCTGCTGCTGACTCAAACCCCAACATTTTTTGAGCTCCCAACATTTTTTGAGTATACTGTTGCATATTGTTGCCAACCATGAAAATGTTCCGAGGGAATGTATCTTTTAAAATGCTTGTCATTTGATTGCAGGGGACAACTAACCCTCCAGATTCTAGTTCCTCACTGCCTGATATTCAGTTTAAAAAATGACATAATTAATGTTAAAGATGCTTCATACACAATTTGTTTTGCCACAGTTCTCCAGATTGTTAAGAAGGCTTGTTCAGGTCCTTGAGTGGAACTTGCCCTCAAATCCTTCTGTTCTTTGTTATAAATTGCTGTTCACCCTTGCCCTGCAGAGATGTAGTGTCCGTGAGTAAATCAGACTTTTAAATTTTCCCCATGCAATACTATGCATAATTGCGTCAATAATCTTTTTTAGTTAAGGGAGAGCCCACAGGAGCTGAACCAGGCAAGGATATGATCATTCAAATGTAACTTTAATACAGATAATAGGACAAGGGGATTAGATTTTGACCTTGATATGTTTGGTAGAGCTTAGCCCCAAGGAAACCTACATATGATAGCAGCCTAAGAGCCTCAACATAGGCAATCCAACACACATTTATGTGTAAATCAGCCCCACTATGTCCAATATCTGCATTTCTGAGTCGCAACACTCACATACATTCCAAAATCATTCCTTCTTCCACTTAACAGTGCCCACCCAAGTCATAGGATTCCTCCTCCTGCTTCTTCTCTTACACTGTATTTGCATCTTCTGGAACCAATATCTTTGATACCTGCATGGAGAACGTTGCCATTGTCCTGCAGTTCTGCCTTGTCCTCATTTCCCCCTTTGCCTTCCAGACTGGGACTGTAGTGGCGAGGTTTCATTAACAGGGATTTTCTTTTGTTGACCGCAACGCCCAAAATCTGCTCTTCAGCTTTTCTCTTCTTTGCCAGGGAGCTTTTGTATGCACTGCATTTGTGTAAAAATATTGATAGTAGATGAAATGGACACGAAATACATTGCATAAATCTTTTTTTTTTCTGTGATCGAGAAGAAAAAAAGTAGGAAAATGGCAAGCGCTAATATGATTACAGTTCTAACTAGCTGGAACTTTTGTTTGGATTGCTGGAGCTAAAGAGCAAGACACAGATAAACATCATTACACCACTTCTTGTGCATTGCTAACAAAGGTCTGCATAATAAAAAAAATAACAATAAAAATGAAGACGCTCTAAAACATCCTTAATCCTGTGTAAAACATATGTTAATCTAAGCTCTGTTCTGGACTAGGCTATATCCACACAAGAAGGGATAAGGAGATATTGGTAGTAGTTGGCTAATCCCTAAAAAGAGTTAATATGAAAATTACACTACCAGTTACTGACCATGTGTCAGTTTTGCTTCTTATGCTTTGATGGGTGAGGTCAAAGGATACCAGTCCAGTGACTCATTTTTCCGTTGCTCATGTCTGATACTGAACAGATGAGAGCACATGGATGCCACCTTGAGTACTTTTAAGGAGAAAGGCGGGGTAAAAAATATTTTAAATAAATAATAGCTGGAAAAAATAAATGTATACAGTACACATGGAGACGAATATAAAAATGAATCACAACATTAGTTGAATATTGCTGATTCATCAGATATTTGTCCCTTCCTATTTGTGAGCTCTGGAGACCCCCACGAATAAGAAGGGATGGATATACACCCTTCATATTTGTCCATTCGTCTCTCTGCCTATTCCCAACGGCAGTGGGAAGGGAGTGGGAGGCAGGCTGTGTAAAAAGACCCAACAAACCGACAAATCAATTTGTGGTCACTGGGAGCAAATTTGTGGGTTGTGGCTCAAGGTTGATGACCCACGAACCAAGACAAACTGCCATTTTGGCAGTTCATCATCTCTAGTATATAGGAAAATGAACAAAATATTATCATTCCAGTTCAGAGCTATAGTTCAGCTGAGATTCAGATAATAGAATCAAGGAACTGGAATTACCTGGTAGTTTTCTTATCAAACTCCCTACTTAATGTAGGATTTGCAAAGCAGGATTTCAAGATGCAGCTTCTATGACCGATGGATGTGCATCCTCAGCTTAAATACTTCCAGTAAAAGAGAACCCATGACCTAAAAAGGTTGTTTCTTGCCCCAGCAAATAGGTCTTACTGTTAGAATGATTCCTCTCAGCTGCAATCTGCTTCCCTTCTATTTCCAGCTGCTCATTCTAATCCTGACCTCAGGAGCATCAAAACCAACACTGCTCCATTTTCTATATGGCAGCTTTTCAGATATTTGAAGATTATAGTCATACATTTCCTTATATTTTTCTTCTCTAAGCTAAACTGCACCCAAAGCTTACAGCTTGTTCTTATAGGAGTTGGTTTCCAGGCACAAAATCATCCCGACTGCATTCTCCTAAATGCACTCTGGTTCGTCAATGATTTTAAAAGTACGGAGCCCCAAACTGAACACAGTACTCCAGACGCAACCACACCAGAGCGGACTAGTAGAACTGGTAATACAGTCTTAGAAGGCTCAACATTGCAGAAAAGAGGCACACCAATGTTAAGATGGGCAGCTGACTGGAAACACTACAGAATTAATTATATTTATTTATTGTTTTGACTCATATATCCCCCTATAGTGCTTGAGCACTCTCTAGGCAGTTTAAAACATAATTATACACAGAATATCCCCCTCCCTTTCCCCTATGAGCTGGGCACTAGCTTTTTCCAACCTCAGAAGGATGGAAGGCTGAGTCAACCTTGAGCTGGCTACCTGAACCCAACAAGATCCAACTCAGCAGAGACTTTTCTGCAGTACTGCATTTTAACCACTGCACTACTACTTCACATTTTGTAGAAGAGAAGAGAGACAAACAGAAATAACACAGACACCTATTACCTTTTGGTAGTTGTTTTAGGAAATAACCACCCCCTGCCAATTAATGTACCCAACACATTGAATTTGTATAATAAATGGTTGTAGGGGTACTTTAGGGTGATGCAGTGAACAAAGGTTGCTGAACAGAGTTTACATGAAATGAATTCATACACTGGCCATTAATTCAATGAGTACCCTTGGCACCTATAGCTTAAATGATATTTATGAGAAACAAAGATTGAAGTTTTTGCAGATGAAAAATACCATATAAACATTACGTTAATAGATCAATTGAACGGTAGCTGTTCATTTTAATAGAGACACAATTTTCTTCTGTGCTATCCTCCTCTAATCTTCTCTATGCCAGTGCCTGATTGTTTAGAAGTTCTTGAATTCCATAAGGTTGATATAATGGATAGGGGGTTTGAGACAGTAAGAAGCCACATCTCTTCGTTATTTTGTAGATAAGAGTATCATGTGGGAAAATGGCACTCCACCTCAGAGAGAATTAAAAAGGATGCTACTGTGAGGGAGGTGTTGCAAAGAATGGAGACTTCCACTTAGCATATCCAGTCATACTGGTCTACAGAGATGAGCCTGCTTTGGTCTGTTGCCTGCCTTGAGACTTTGTGGACCTAACAGAAAGGCATTCAGTGCTGTCTCTGTGACTGAAAATATAACTAGCAATGCAGACCTGTACTACACTACATTTTTCAGACAATTGTGTATCTTAGTTACATGAGGATTTATCAGCCTGCAGTGGCACAAACCTATGAGTGATGATGAAGCATAGTTCAGATGTGAGAGCAAAAGGCTATGTTTCCTGAAAAGTGTGGGGTCACCTGATGAAACATCCTCCAGTCTTTTGACCCTCTCCTTTTTTATTTCGGGAAAGCAATATTGTCTGTAATTCTCTCCCAGTTACGCAATACGAATAAAAGCATTTATATTATATCTGTCACAGATGAAAAACGGCATTTATGGATCAGTGTAATCCACTCATTGGTTCCTGAACCCCAACTCCCCTAGGGAGCATCACAAATGTACATGATGTCCCTGGTTGCTTGGTTTCGCATTTGGCTCACTGATCTAGCTGAAAGATTTGGGGGAAAAATCCCTGTCTCCAGACAGCTCCTTGTTGGTTACACATAATATGAAGCTTAATCCTTCCAAGGTAACTTATGTACACTAAATTGGCTCGAGTTCTGATTGTTTTGGATGGTAGCATATGACTAACTTAAGCGTTTTGCCTTTAAAACAAAAAAAAATCCATATTGGCAAATCATCTTCTTGGCAATGCACCCTTACAAATAAGGACATGTGAAGACTGTTGTAGAAGTTAAAGTGCAAGCAACAGGCATCTTGCATTTAGAACTCTCTTGATCTCTCTGTCGCAATGCTGCATAAGGGGGAAAAAAACCCAAAACAATAAAATGGATACTTTCCAGTCCTTCTGTTTAAAAGTGTTGTGTTTGTATGGTTTCATATTACAGCAAAGTAAATGCTACAAAGTAGGAATTCTAGGAATACAATTGCGTATGTTGCAAAAACCTGGCATATGAAAAAGTAAAACAATGCCTCTCCCAGCAATAAATTTTAAAACAATTGTTTCGTTGTGAAACATTATGAGAACATTTTTCAAATACTGGAAAGGCAGTCATTAAGAGGAGAGAGAATCTGCTCTTGATCATCCCAGAGTGCAGGCGAGGTAATAAAGGGCTCATGCTACAGCCAGACTTAGGCTGAATATCAGGAAAAAACTTCTTAACTGCTAGAGCAGCATGACAGTGGAAACAAATACCTCAGGCGAGGAAAAAAACTTCTTAACTGCTAGAGCAGCACGACAATGGAAACAATTACCTCAGGTGATGGGGAGTGCTCCAACACTGTGGAGGCATTCAGGAGAAAATTGGACAACAATCTGTCAGATCTGCTTTGACTTGTATTCTGCATTGAGCAGGGGGTTGGATTCATGGCCTTATAACACCCCTTCCAACTCCAATGTACTATGATTCTGTGATTTGTCATCTAGTTTAGTTCAAAACCAGGCAGTGGAGTCGGATTCTGTATATGAACTACATATACACATGTGACTATGAGTGTGTGAGTGTGTGTGTGTAGATGAATGAAAAATAATTGTAAATTATTAATGGAAACAGAGAAATACTAAGTGTTTTCAAATTGCAGTTGTGTGTTCTCTTGTGGCTTTCCAAGACTACAGCTAGGAAATAATTATTTATGAAAAACATTTCCTTGTTATAATTGCCTGTTTATTTGCTAATACTTTATTATTATTATTTTGTAATATCTGGGACATAACACTAAATCATTTTACAAGAACAGTCTATAGTATTCAAATTTTTTAAAAAAATACCTATTTTGTTTTTAGTTATTAGTTAATTACAGTTATCAGTTATTTACTGTTTTGTTAGAACATGAAACTGAACTGTTGCTTTTTAAACATGATAACAATAACTAACTACGCCTAGGAACCTTGGAACTGCTATAAATTAATTTTTAGACATGATGTTTCATGCTGCAATTCAGAACAATTACAATACATGGTAGTCTTTGGACTGGTCTTATACTTTCAAAGACAGTTTTTCTTTCCTCACTCTACGGCACAAAGGATCTTAAGAACTGAAAGCTGGTTTGCTTTCTTCTCCTGTTCTACCATCTCCCTTGCCATTCCTGACCTCAAGAAGACTAGTACAGTGGGCAACAGAAGAATAAGAAGGTAAGAGAGGCAACACCAGTCATCTGAACCTAAATTAAATTGGAAGGGTGAAATGACACATAATCATTTGCATTCAAGTTTTTCTCTGCCTTGATTGCAGAAGAGTCTCACCCTAGCAAGGATGTAGCCTTACTTCAGTAGGCAAGCCAAACTTATTACAACAACAGCAACAACGATGACAATGACAAGGATGATGATGATGATGATGTGAGACAATATTATGCTGTTTCCAAATGAACTTATAACAGGAGTCAGTAAAGTACAGCCTAACAAGCTCCTCAAGGCTGTTTTTAAGAGCCGTCCTTTTCCTCAAAGACAAAAACAAATTCGAAAAAATGGGGGAGAACAAAT